TTGAGAAACGATGTACAAATGCGCTTTACACAATTGATGTGTGTATGGATTGGGATAACAGTTGTATGAGCCCCTAATAAAATGTTTAAAAAAAAAAAAAAGAGTTTCAGAGTGTGCAGGGGCCCCAGGTTCTCGGGATGTATTCCGCTCCTGGCTCTTCTCTCTTAGTAGCGGTTGGTCTCTTTCTCTCTGTTCACCTCTCTCTCTCTCTCTCTCTCTCTCTCTCTCTCTCTGTGAAACTGAATGTGGTAACAGTGGTAACATACTGCTTAAGGCGACTGAACTAGGCAATGAGATAATATCTGTATTAGCTAAAAAAAAACATAGTTTAGGAAGAAAAAGAAAGAAAGAAAGATACTGCAGGCCACACCTCCAGCAATCTTTCCTCACATCGTCCATGGATCAGTGCTGCCGCCTACATTTAATCGTCCCATTGATTTGCCATATCTGGTCGCACCACACCAGACATTGCATCACTCTCACGTTACATATTACATACATATTAATTATTACATACTGCCAAACCACTGAGACGCACAACCAAATTGACACTTATTTTGAGGGGACACAATTCAATTCATGATAAACATAGAAGTAGTGACATAGAGAAGGGATAAGCATGAAGCTTAGTTAATTATCACAACTAATCACACCTAGTGGTAACACATTGAGTTGGATTGCAAGGTGGGCAGTTCGAAACCACCAGCAGCTCTGAGGCAGAAAGACTGGGCTTTTATCACAGGACCACAAGGACGGGCGGGGGGTGGGAGGGAGAAAAGAGGAGCTAAGACCAAGGGCTCAAATAGAAAGTAAATGTTTAGAAAATAATAATGGCAACAAATATATAAATAAGGACGAGATGTAAATCCTACCTCTCAATGGCAGAAGTGCTTTAAGATTTCTGACTACTCACAATCATTTTTGCATTTTCCCTCTGGACTGTGAGATTCTTGAGAGCCGGGGCCATCCACTCTCTACTTGTTGGGTCCAATAAAGAGTCAGAATTGACTCCATGTCAGTGTGCTTGTCTTTGTTTTTGAAGAGAGAGTTTTAATCTGCCACTATCTAAAGGCAGAAATCTTTTTTTTTTTTGCTCTTTAAATTATTTTTTACTTTTATTATTGGGGGGTCTTACATATATTATAACAGTCCATACATCCATTATATTAAGCGGGTATGTACAAATATTGGCATCAACCGTTTCATAACATTATCTTTCTCCTTCAGCCCCTGGATATCAGCTCTTGTTTTTTCTCTTCCTCCCCTCCCCTGCCCCCCTCACAAACCCTTAATATATTATGTATTGTTATTTATACATATCTTACACCACCCCATCTATCCCTTCACCTACAATCCTGGTATTCATCCCTAAAAGCAGAAATCTTGATGGAAACTTTTGCTTTACTCTAGTAATCAAAGAATTTAATATCAGCCTATATAATAAGCATTCAATGTCAGGTACTATACTAGGTGCTAGTAATAAAACAATAAAAAATAAAGTACATCAGAAATGAAATCTCTCAGCCTCCCTATTTTCAAAACACACACCATGACCCAGAAGAAACAAACCTGTAAAGGGAAAAATCATTTTAGAAAATCATCAGTCCTTTATAATAGAGATTTACATATACTGGGCTGTGAGGGCACATCAGTTGGACAAGGAATGGGAATATCATGGATGATTTCAGCAAAGAGGATCATTTGTTCTCGATTCTTAAATAGGAGCATAGAAAGCAAAGACATGGAAGAAGCACATCAATCTGTGATACCCAATGCTTGTAAATAACAAAATCCAAGATTAAAAGAGAGAAATTTATTGGAGCTCAATTCTGAGCACCCGGTTTATGGAACAAAAGGCTGTGGAAGACCATGAAAGCCCAAAATCCATTTGCAAAGACCTCACCAGGGATAAACCCCCATTGAATTCCCTCAGACCATTGACTGGTGGTGTGAAAAGCCCTGCCCTCAGAATGCACTGGAGCGTGAATTAATACAGATATCAAACAAAACTCACTGCTTTGAGTCGAGTGGGATTCATAGTGACCTTGTAGGACCAAGTAGAACTGCCTGGGTGGGTTTCTGAGACTCATCTTTCTCCCTCACAGTGGCTGGTGGTTTCAAACTGCTGACCCTGCCATTAGCATCCCAATGCAAAATCCACTATGTCACCAGGGCTCCCCAGTGCAGATCTAGTTTACTTAAACTTTAACATCTTATCATTTGTTTTCCTTTTTAACCCATTCTAATTGTTCTATTTTTAAAATTATTTTCTGCTTTCTTATAAATTGAAAAAGAAATGTAACCAGTACATTTCTACATGAACAGGCCATGTAGAAATTATTAGATGGCAACCTAATTTTCAGTGTAAACTTAAAAAATTATATTTAAAAAAAATAAAAGAATTTGAATTATGTGTAAATGGAATGTTGATTTTACAGGACGTGAAAGTAAGCAAATAGATGGGGAGTTGCATCCTGATCAGATTTGGGGGCATCTTGATGAATCGGAACGATATGCTGTGGGAGGCATTGCTCAACCTCGCGTTCTCTAAGACAAGCAGTGATAAGGCAAGCGTAAATACGAATGGGTTTGAACTCGGATCACTTGCTGACATTGTTGAGGACCACTGGTCTTGGTGACTTCTGTTGTTTTTTGTTTTTTCAGTAAATTAAGATGCTTTTCACATCTCTGGTCAGTGGCCCAAGGGGATTAAATGCAGACTTAAAAAGACATTGGCTAAAAAAAAAATACAAAAACCTGAAAGGCGACAAGACATTTTAAAAGAATGGTAAATATTTGAATCAGTTACTGTGACACACACAAAGAGGAATGCTGAAAGATGAGCAATTGTATTGCTGACCCACAAAGGTCCTCGATATCCATTCCAAGCTACTGGCCACAATTTTGCATTTAGATTAAGCAATCACCCCTTTCCAAATGACATAAATGGAGCAGAAATAAGCAGAGAAGCCACCTCTGGGTTTATTGCAGTGATTTGGAAGATAGTAGGTAAGATCCCAAGCTCTAAGGTCAGTCAGACGTTTCAAAAGTATTATCTCTTTCTGCATTTCCACATTATATAAAAATGGCTATAATAAAAAAGTAACCTCACAGCATCATGAGGATTAAATGGACATGTCAGGCAAAACAACTCACCCGTCACGGCTCTGAAGTCGATAGATAGTCACTGTTTGGTTTGGAATGACTGTTAACGTCACATGTTGTCCATGTCTCTGAAGTCAACAGATAGTCACTGTTTGGTTTGGAATGACTGTTAACATCATGTGTTGTCTGTTCTTCACGAAGGGCATTCTCTTCTCCTCAGTGGAATGTGTTACATCCACACTTGACCTAGTGAAACTCTATCGACATGAAGCAAATCGAGTTTATCGGGATAAAATGGTGGAAGAAAAGGACATTGACCTTTTGGATAAGATTCAGGCAGAAGTGGCAAAGAAAAGTTTTGATGTAAGTATTACACTTGAGATATTTTGCATCTCAGAAATCATTACCATTATATAATTGCCCACCTTATAGACCATGAATTGTGAAACAAATTAAAGATCGGGTTAAAAATCGAATTTATCTTAATTTTGCCCACATGAAATACAATGGGACAGGAATAGACCCAAATTAATTACAGAATCCCAGCATTGAGAAGGTACGTGGAGATCACCTGGTCCCACCCAGAATGGAGTCCCCTCAGAAGCAGACTCCAAATTGTTCATCTCGGGTGATCATCCTTGAAGATGCCTAACAAACTTTTCCAGAAGCAATCTTGTTTTGGAATAGCCAAATTGGGAACCACTTGGAAATTGGGGGCAATTTTAATGGAATTCCTTTTCATCGTGACCTGTACTTAATGTGCCTGCTCACTGACTCCAGGTCTGCCCGAGAGACTTTTAAAGGTTTCGATTCATTTCATCTTTTCCTTCCTGAGAGTCGCAGTCTCCAGCTAAGTCTCCATCGTTCTTTCGAGCCAGGTCTGATATGGCTTGGTTTCCGTCCTGTTCATCCTTTTGATGGCTCTCCCATCAGCTTCCCCCTTTGAAATTATGGTACCCAACCATCATCACAATAACCCAAAGCTGCGGCTGAGCCAAAAGCCATTTCTTGTTGGACTGCTAACGGCAAGGTGATGGTTCAAACCCACCAGCTGCTACTCAAGAGAAAGATGAGGCTGCCTATCGCAGGAAAGGTGTATAGCCTTGGAAACCCTGTCTACGGTAGCTGTGAGTCAGAGTCAATCTGAGTCCTGTAAGTTTGGTTTTATAAAATTACTCTAGTGTTTTTCAAAATGTGTCCTGAGCATATTTCTTGCAAAGGAAGACTCTTTGGTGAAATAGATTAAGAAAGTTCTCTCTATGACATATCCACCTCTGGATTCATTGTTCACTGAGCACATGAAAGCCCAGAAACATCTTGATTAACTCTGATTTAATGGCATTTCTTGACTGTATTAGACCCTAAAACTCTTTGCCCTTCATAAACCTTTTAATAATTGTCAGAACAAATAGTTCGTGGAATATGCTTACGGAAGCATTTTCTGTATGGTATTCAAGTATAACCTAAGACTGCGTTATACAGTATCAAAATGACCTCACAGCTAATCTTCTGTCAACCAAAGCCCCGCATTTTCCCAAGTGCTGCTTGTCTCCCCTTTTTAAACCGAGAAATAACCAAGTCTTAGGTTTAAGTGTATAATGGTGTCCCTAACCTAGGCTCACCCTATTAGGCGTGGTACCATATTCTCTCCTGACAAGCTCCTGAGTCTATTTCTGAAGATCCTTTTGGTCCCTCTTAGTGATTAGGGTAGCTTTTTCAATACATCGACAGCATTTATGTAACTTATTTTAGCTGGCCACCAAACAGACTGACCATTTTAAGATTTTTCTAATTTTCTTATCACTTTCTAGTTATCTCAGCATTATCTGGAATAGGATTCAGCACAGTCACAGTTAGATGCCCCTTTCTCAACATTGTCGAGTTTGCCAGTTTGTGTCTTAACTGTAGCTCTTCCCAAATTGGTCCGGGCTGGCATTCTAAGGAAACAACTCAGTCTTTGATAGACTGTATTTTCACACATATAGCACGCACATTAAATGAGTTTCTAAAATCCATGCAACCCCCTCACACATTAGCATCTTATGCACACTATGTGTGTAATATGCCTATGTGCATCATTTTAGTGGGTACATTATATACAAAAATATAGCGGAGGATACTGTGGCTCTGTATACATTCTTTTGATCATAGACCCAGATATAACTGACAGAGCCATGATTTGTAAAACAACGAAAGTATCAAATGCCAGTCTGAAGCACACTTGGCTGTGTCAAATCTTGGTGTTGATATCAAGAAGATGTTGCCAAATTTCCACCAAAAGTCACCAACTTTCACCACCAAAAGCTTACAGTTCTCTGATTTATGGACCTTGTGAGAGACAGCATCCATCACTATTGAAGAATCTCTGATTCCCTCTGTGAGATGACTCATGTTTTACTCTCCCTTATACACAGCATAGCTCACAAAATCAGACTTTTTTTTCCTCAAAGAGTACTTGCAGACCAGATTTCTTCAGAGTTTGCTTCCGTTACCCCTTCTGAACTGGGAGAATGCCCTCACTTCCACGTTATTTGCCCTTGCACATTTGGAATACACTTATTCCTAATCTTGCAGGAATACCAGTACCACTTGCCGTCAAGGCAATTCCAACGCACCCAACCCCACGTGTATCAGAGTGGAACTGTGTGCGCCGCGTTGCCAGTGACTGGATCAGATCGCCAGGCCTTTCTTCTGGGGAATCTTCCAGAACTTGCAGCTTTTCAGTTAGCAGCCTGGAACATTAGCATTTTGTGCCACCAAGAACACCAAGCGAGCAAGCCTAGCTCTCTTCTATTGCATGTGCATCTTATTCAAGTACCCTGTTGTCAGTGCCTGGCAGAGCCTGAATAGAGGCTTAAGTGGTTTTGGGGGACTTTGAAACTGCTTGTAAAATGTAACACCTCTTTGATAGTTAACTTTTTCTTCTTCTTTTTTTTTATTTTTACTTATTTTTTAAGTTCGTGTTTATTTACTTAAGTCATTTTATCACAGCTCTTATCACAATCCATCCATCCATCCATTGTGTCAAGCACATTTGTACATACGTTGCCATCATCATTTTCCAAACATCTAACTTTTTCTTCTTATAACCAGGCCGCACTCCTGGCTTCTTCATAGATACGTTGTCACCCTCACGTTCGCCACATTGAGTTTGACAAATCTTGTCCCATGGGCTGGCAAAGATAACTCTACAAAGGTTTCAGCTCCAGTTATAGTCTCTGTTGGTGAATAACATGCAGTTATTTTTTTCCCTAGGTGGGTTTTGTAGCTATAGGGGAAAAGACTGGTTCCTGAAGTGTAACTTTCTACCTGTGACTTAGAACATGGATTCTTTTGTTGGCGATAGCTCCTCTACAGTCTTTCGTCCTACAGGGAGTTCCTTTCTGTCTAGACTAACGGAAAAATGTCTTCAGTCGCTGCCACCGTAACACTTAGCGGTCACATCGGTAGTGATGAGGCACAGGCAGCTTGTGCTGTAACAGTCAGCCAGCTGCTGAATCAATTCTGACACCCGCTGTGTGACAGTGCGATTGGGTTCCTTGGAGTCTCCCAGCGGCTGATTTTTGGAAGTAGATCACCAGGCCTTTCTTCTGAAGCACCTGGGTAGTTTGAACCGCCAGCATCCTGGCTTGCAGCTAAGCATGTGAACCATTTGCAGCACCCCAGGACTCCGCCAGCGTTGTAAACCACGCGCACTGCCATGGAGTCGACAGACGCACGCACAGTGACCCTAGAGCACAGGGCAGAACGGGCCCTGGGGTTTTCCAGGGCTGTAAGGCTTCATGAGAGTTGAAAGCCTCACCTTTCTCCTAGACCCCTGGTGGTTTAGTGATTATGCGTTTGCCTGTGATCCACATGGTCAGGAATTCGAAACCAAATATTGAGCTTTCTGTTGCAGTAAACAGTTAGTCTCAGAAACCCATAGCAGGGTTTCTATCTGTGACTCAGCCTTGGCCTGACGGCTGTGAGTTTGCTTTGTTGCTGTTGTTATCGTTTCTCCTGTGGAGTGGCTGGTGATTTCAAATTACTGACCTTGTGGTTCGTAGCCCAACCCATACACCTAAGTTATACTAGTGCTTATTTTATAGAGATGGTAAAATCTGTCCTGTGTGCAAAATCTGAACTAGCCCAAATCCTTATGAAGGGTTTATAGTGAAGAACTCCACTCTAAATGCTTCCTAGATTATCCATGTCCCCAATTAAACAAGCAAGCAAACAATCAAAAAGCAGTCACCTAAGGATGACTGATAGCATTGCAGAATCAAGCCCTCAGGCCTGAGCTGAGGAAGTTTGGGCTGGAACCAATAGTGTGAACTCTCTAGGGAACAGGAAATGGTGTTTTGTGATAGTACTCTGCATTAGGAAACAAGACCCACTAGAACAAATGTGGGAGGTGGAGACATGGTCCCTTCTAGCCAATACTGGGAGTCCCCGCTAAGGAAGCTCCACCTGAGTTTCCCCAGGCACTCCCCTGCTCACAGATGGATTCTTACTCTCTCACTATCCAGTTCCACCCTCAGCGTACAGGAAATCACGAACCTCACCTGTGATGTCAGGAAGCTGGTAAATGATCGCTTTGGGTCACTTTATGGGGGCTTCTAAATAGGGAGGAGGCATTAGGACAATGCCCCTCCTTCAGTTTCAGGGAGGGTACAGGGAGGAAAAGGAAATCAGGTATCTACTCCCTGCATGGAACCAGAATTAGGAGTCAGTAAGGAAGGCCTTTGTTCCTATGTCTCATTGACAGGATATTGAAGAGAGTACGAAGCAGAACCTGAACATGTATTGCCACTTTGCCAATGGCATTGGTGAGCCCAAGTACATGCCTGTACAGTCGTGGGAACTTCTGACCCAGACACTGGTGGAAGCCTTGGAGAACCACAATGAGGTCAACACCGTGATGGACCTGGTGCTCTTTGAGGATGCCGTGCGCCACGTGTAAGTGCACTTCTCTCTCGCTCTTCCCAACTTTGCAGGTCACACTCAGGAACTTAAGGTTTTAACGACACTTTCATATAGCCAAGGCAAGACGGCCCTATGGGGCATCCGAATTTTGAGCTCTAGAGTGTTGAATGTAGAATTGGATTTATTTCCATTTCTGCTATCTACTACCCCTGGGGGGTGCTCAAATGCTTACACACTCAGCTTGTAACCAAAGGGAGGATAGTTCTAATCCACCCAGCGGTACCTTGAAAGAAAGTCCACGTGATCCGCTGAAGAAAGACCACAGGTATTGAAAACCCTATGAAATGCCATTACACCTTAACGAGTGTAGGCTTGCCGTGAGTCAGAACAGAATGAAAGACAGTTCGCTTGGCTGGCTTTGGGCATGAGCACAGTGATTTGATCGATTTGAGATCAGAAAAGGCGCAAGAGCAGCCCACAGTTCCTGTCCCTGCCCCATCATAGTCAAAGGAGTGGTTTTAAAGTAATGAGGCTTAGGGAAGGTTTGGGGTTTTTAAAAATTTGTTTGGTGTTTTTTTTTTGATATGAAATTAAAGTACACAATTCAGTACCTTCACAGTGTTGTGCAATCACTGTCTTTATTTAGTCCCATAATTGTTTCAAAATCACCAAGTAAAACCCTAAGCCCATTAAACAATTACTCCTCACTTTCACAAACCCCTAGTGTCTGCTACCCACCAAGCTGCTTTCTCTCTCTCTGCGTGTATCTATTCTAGCTAGCTCACAGAAAGCATGTGACTTTTCACACGGCATGACTTCTTTCCGTCAGCATACTATTGTTGATATTCCTCCTGTTGCATACTCATCAGTCGTCCATTGGTGGATTGATGGTCACGTGGGTTATCATGAGTCCAGCTGCTATGGACATGCACGTGCAGGCCTATCTTGTTTTTAGTGTGCTTCACCATATTGCACTGTGTCAGGGAAACCAGCCCCTAACACATCATCACAGGTCCGGTAGGCGCAATTGTACAGCGATAATAAGTAAAGGTTATAGTAAAGTCATAGAGAACATGAGAGATAGAAGAGAGATTGAAATAATGGAGTCAGACACATCTCATGGTAGCATGCTCACCTCAGCCTCACTTGGTCCACGTGGAGAGAGAAAGATATTTATTGCGAACCAAGGCTTTTATATTCTCCAGGGATGTGCAAGCCCCCCAGTTACAGGTGAAGACATACATCATAGGAAAGGGTTGTGCTATAGGTAGTACAGTAATGGGAGGTGGGTGATCTAGGGGTTCATATGCTATTGGAAGAGGAGGGAATAAGGGAATACATGTGACAAGATGGGAGGACCCTAAATTCATGATGGTGGCCTAACTTTGGATGTTACTGAGTAGGTTTGACCTGTTCTCTAACTCACTATAGAAACCATTATTAGTAGGGTGTAAACCCCACCTGCAGGGACCCAGCCTTTTGTGAGAAGTAGCCCACTGTCCTTAACAGCAGGGAGTGGGCCCTACTTGTGGTGGGACCAGACAGTTGTATGGGATTGACTGCCTTCAGGGGGGATGTCTCTAAGCATCTGAACTCACACCACATGCTGGCAAATAGCCTCTAATGTTTGGCATGTCTTTGGGGGAGACAAAGCTGGGGAAAGGTCTCTTTATAATCCCACATTGCACTTCATAGGTCACCTTGTTGTTTTGTTTGTTTGTTAAGAAACTGAGAGTCAATCAGTGCCATGTGTCCCAAGAGCATGTGCTCGCTTCCTATCACCATGTCTCTGTTTGGAAATTCTCAAAATATTGCAAACGCCTTTGCAGAATGCCCACCCAACCAAACTAATGCCACTGAGTTGATTCACACTCTTAGCTGTCCTAAGGATGTCCACAACTACATTTTCACCAGAGCCGGCAGCCTCTTATCTTTTTCTCTCCGTAGCTGGTAAATTTGAACTGTCAACTGTGCAGTTAGTAGCTCAATCAGGGCCCCTTTAACAGACTACTACCTCACTGCCATTAATTCAGGTGTGACTCATAGTGACCCTGTGTAGGTTTTCTGAGGCTGTAAATCTTTGTGGGAATAGACAGCCTCATCTTTCTCCCGTGGTTTGTGGCTATGAACTGCTGGCCTTGGGAGTAACTGCTCAATACCCCACTATGGCACCAGGGTTCTTTTAATAGACTACTCGCTGTCATCAAAATGGATTCTGACTCCTATGAGTCCTATAGGACAGAGTAGAACTGCCTCTGTGGGTTCCTGAGACTGTTCCCACCCCCCTAGGATTAGAAAGTCTCCTATTTCTCCCATGGAGCAGCTGGTGGGTTTGAACTGCTGACCTTGAAGTTAGCAGCCCAACATGTAACTCACTATGCCACCAGGGCTCTTCAGCATAATGTAAAATAATGTTTATATGAACTGGAAAACAAGCAAACAAACATAAATCATGTGGCCCACTCTCTTGGGGTAGTCTCCTTATTGAGGTACTCTGGCATGTAATCTGCAATGTCTTCGGGGTATGCCTGTACAAGCACCTGTTTATATCCTTGCCTTCAACTCTTTGGAAGGCTTGTCTTACAAGAATTTCCTTGGGAGACCGTACTCCACCCATCCGCAAGCCTGGATCTTGCCCTAAAACTGAAAGAGATTTAAGGGAAACATGATTTGAATTACTCAAGGATGATAAGACTGCTGTTTTGACAATGGTGTAAATCAGAAAGACATAAACTTTGGGGAAGGGCTAGAGAGAAGGAAACCTTTCCTCCAGAAGTGTACAGACCTCGGTAGAGGCTATGGCAAGAAACAGTAGAGTCACTTTCATTTTCATATTTTTTGTTTGCTAAAGGCTTCTATGGTTTTATAGCAAGATATTTGCATTTATCCTTCTACTTCGGGATGTAATTGATGGTAAGTCTGTTGAATTTTTTGGAGAAGTCACCAATCTGCTTTGATCCGTGACTGAAAAACCATTTTTATAGTTCCATCACAGTGTATGAGGGTTCCACTTTCCCCACAGTCTTGCCAACACTTGTTGTTTTTCACTTGACGAAATTATAGCCATCCTAGTGGGTAGAAGGTGGTATCTCATTGTGATGGAAGGGATTCTTAAAAGTACAACTGTTTGAAAACGAAATATACTTCTGACAGTAATTGCTCTTGTCACTGAGCATAGTCACTGAGTCTCCCAGGCAATCCATCCTTAGAGCAATCTGTGTTTTATCATTTCTCATTCCACTCTGGAGTCCTTTCCCCTTGACCCTGGTGCGTGTGGTCTGCAGCAGGAAACCCAGCTTCGTTCCTCGTCCATCTCAGAACCTTCCCTTTGCTGCCTAATTATAACTGAGCCCCCCCACCCCCCCCCCCCCCGAGGTTCAGGAAAGCTGATGTTTCTCTTCCCCATTCTATGTCCAGAGAGGAATAAGTGCCCTCCACACTCTCCTACCCCAGTGACACAGTTACACTTCTCTTCTTTTGTGCTTCCCAAATCCAGTTCTTGTGAAAAACACGCACCCAGGCTGTCTTACTCGGTGCCTCTCTTTATTACTGTCACCAGCTAGCTTCTAGCTACTCCCCATCATTTCCCAATTATCTCAGTGCTTGAAGCATCTTTCCCTCCCCAACCATTCACCTATGTGATGCCTTGCCTCCCAGTTTCCTGTCCATCTGTAACTCTAGTGATCTTTCTTCCAACACACTTCAGCCACTCACGTACGTCTTTCCCCTAAAACGTCTATCATTAATACAGAAATCTCAATTCCAGTCTCCATCTAGTACCTGTTACCTTTTTCCTTACCCACTGTAGGTTACTGTTCCGTCTGTTTTTAAACTTCAGCATGATCCATTTCTTTGACCTTTAGTTTATGTCCTGCACTTCAGGCATGTTTTAGGAGACCAGCCCCTGGAGAAGGGTGTCGTGCTCTGTGAGGGTTGGGGGGTGGGGGAGGAAGACCCTCAAAGGAATGGATTCATAATGGTTGCAGCAGCGAGCTCAGGACTAGCAATTGCAAGGTTGGTTCAAGACTGGGAAGTCTTTCCTTCTGTTGTCAGATCCTTGAGTCTGAACCAACTTAACAACAACAAGCCACCGCTTTCTCAAAGTCTCGTATCCCTCCCGACACATCTTTACTTTTCTCTCTAACCAGCATGTCCTCAACTCTCCCATCATTCCCCAAATGATACTTCCCCAGTCTCTTAAACTCTGCCCTCTCCTGTTCTACACCTCTCCCAAACACCTGAACATTATTGAAAAAAATGCTCTCAAATCATTGACTGATATTTCTTTCGGCCACAACCCTAGTATGGGTCCCCAGCATTGTTAGAAATCTCCCCTCCAACCGTGGACAATTTGCTCCTTCCCCCTCCTGCAAGACTCCTCCACACTTTGTTCCTGCTTCTGCAAGCCCCCCCTTTTCCTTCCCACTTGGTGAGCACATCTCTCTTTTCCCTGACAAACGAGAGCCACCAGGAGAGGATTCTCATCATCTCATCAAAACCCCTATCGGCGTCCCACTCACAAATCTTGCCTTTCCTCCTATTTCAATAAATGAATTGCTCCTGTTTTTACGTAAGGTCAATTCTTCCATCTGTGCTCGGAATCCTGCTCCTTGCACCATCTCAGTGACTTAACTCCTTCCTCAAATTCTCTCCCTCCTCCTCCTTTCTTGTTCTTGGTTCTCTCTCTCTTCTCTCTCTCTCCCTCCCTTCTCTGTCTTTTCTTCTTTCTCTTTCAGAAATTTCTAGATCATGTGAGTCAGCATCTCTAAACAGACCTCATCATCATTTTTCGTTTAAAAAGTGTCCCTTACCTTTCAGAGCTCTCTGTGTTGTTAATGTTCTTGTTGTTTCGTGCCATTGAGTCCACTCTCACTCCCAGTGACCTTATGTGCCACCGAATGAAACATGCCCAGTCCCGTGACATCATCTTCATCCTCACAGCTCATCGTGTGTGCGCCCATTGTTGCAGCCACTGTGTCCATCCATCTCATGGAGGGTCTTCCCATCTACTACCCACACAAAGAACCCCATCA